GTAAAGCAGTGGTCTAAGATGTTGTCCTCCAGAAAGAGTCTCACAGGTTTTTATTCAGTCACCAGTTTCATCAACTCAACATGGAAAATCAGTATTAAAACTGGATGGATCCTAGCAGCCTAGTCACAACAATTATTTAAATTATTATTCGTTTCTATCATGTAAAACTTTTAGAAAGGTCTTTAGGTGTTACCAATGGTTTGTTTAAAAGTGGTCAATTGCATTGCATGCATGGATCTAACTCTTTCGATCTATTTATAAAAAAAATTAAAAAGATTTTTGACAACATTGCAAAAACACATTAATCACAACTGAACAAGAGAAAAATCCTAGATAGTTGAAAATATGTGATCTTTACCTTCTGATAACAAAGAATTTCTGAAACTGGGTTCCACAAAACTGGTGAAGAATGTAGGCGTGACTGTTGGGACCGTATATCTTACGCAGACACAAGGACCCAGCATCCTCTGTGCTGCTCAGACTGCAGTTTCTGTTCCAGGATCTTCATCCAAACAAGAGTTCTGAGCTCATTTCTGATTGTGAGAAATCAACATGAAGCTCTGTTCTACAATAGCTGTTCTGCTTATAGCAGCTTGTCTGTTTGTGCCCTCTATACAGGACAATCCTGGTAAGTTGGATTCTTCCAACTTTTTTTTTCTTCCATGTGTTTCAATATGTTTTTGTTTACATTTTTGTTTGTTTAACCAATGTAGGAATGCGATAACTGTAATAATGTTAAGTCCACTTTTCTCTAAAACCAGGATTCTGCCCAAAATACCCTGCGATGCTTGGAAGTCATTGTCGCGGTGACAATGGATGCCCCGGAAATGAAAAATGCTGTTACTTTCGTAATACATGGTACTGTGTTTCTCCTACTGTCGGTAAGAGACACAAAATTTACTAACATCCAAGGTATTATTTAGCAAAAACTGTTTTAGTAATATCGAGCTTGGATTGACATGAAAAAAAAAAAGAAAATGCTTAAAATAAACAAAAATTTATAGCATGAAAAAAATTACAAGTTTGACTTATTTTTTCAAATTAATAGCCTGCTACTAAAGCCATGTGAATATTTTAACTACATATTTTAAATTCAATTTTAATGTAACAAATATTTATGCACACAATCTTGTTGAAGGAGAAAACTGTAAAACCAAAACAAAATAAATTCATATTTCTCCTGTTCTTTTACAAAAGATAATTGAAGCATACATACCAAAAGCATCTCTGTGGTTGCCAAACACTGAGGGGCAAACTGAGGCAAACAGCTGCTGACACTAATTAAACCTCTCTCTACCTGAAGGCCAGGTAACCACACCTGGTGCCTCTGGCACTACACTGCCAACTTTTTTGCAAACGATGTACAGTAACTACTAAATTAAGTCCTTTACTCACTGAAAACAATAAATGAAAACACAGATAATTGTATGCAACATAACACTTACAATCAAACAAAAAAACAAAAAAAATAAATGAATAAAAACTTATAGATTTACTGAATCAACTGAAAATTACTGAACTTAATCCAAACACTACAATCTAAAATTACAAAGCTTAATCGAGTCTTAATTTAAAACCTTGGCAAGTGATCTCACTAAGTGAGAAATATTTCTGAACGTTTCATTAAACTATTAAGTTATTCGTGAGATATTTTGCTAAACAGAGAGTCTACCTGTAATAGTGGACAATTAAAATGGACAATTCTCACATTTCATTTGTCTGAGTTTTGGTTTGTAAGCTTTTTGCAGAAATTACACTTTCTGTCATTACCTCTCAGATTTTTGCTAAAACCAGGTCAACATCTGAAGCACTCTAAATGTTTGTTTATGTTTTCTTTTTTTTTTTCAGATTAGCACAAACTTTGTGGAAAACATCTGTTCATTCCTCACCGTCATGATGATAAAGATGGTGAATGCAGCTGCAAGAAGAAGTGCTCTCTAAACAGATGTGAAAACACCTGTAAACAATGGTTTTTTTTTCTTAAAAACACCAACTGAACTGCATCATACAGTCCAGTTTGCTCTTCTTTG